CACATTTTGAAACTAGAACGATGACATGGGCGCCACCTTGTCTTTTATTTTTAATCTCCTGCCTAGTATTTCAAACTAAATAGGTGACTCAAGAGCAATTTCCCCTTCTTCTTTTGCACGGACCTTCCCCTGGCCCTTGACCGGCCAGGCTGTCCGGGCAACCAAGGTGACCCCGACGGCCCGGTCGGTCGAGTATATGCATATATTACCTCAACAATTACTGGCCCATGCATTCACAGACACCCTTAGCTACTTACTGCCAATGGCATACAATGCGGTGGCATACAATGCGGTAGTCGTAGTCCTGTATGTTCATCCCTCCATCCATTTAGAAATTATGTTCAGACTCTCCGGTACGTTCATCCATCCATCCATTTATATAGACATAATTTTTAACAAAGTAAAATTTGCTTTGAACTTGGGACACTGAATGGTAAAATCATACTACAATGTCGAATTGAATTTCAAATTGATAGAACGAGCTCAGGCAAGATTCTGGTTTTTCTTTCTTCTTTGTCCACAGCTTCTGTGCTGACGACATGACAAGCCCGACCACTGGCAGGTCTTTTTCCAGATTGTTTTTCTTTTCAGATTGTTTTTTTCCCTTTCTCGAAACACAATATTGTTCCCGATTGGGACATTTGCCCCCCACATGCTTTTTCTAAACGCAAAGAACAAGAAGAAAAGAAAAAGAAAAAGAAAAAGAAAAAGAAAAAGAAAAAGAAAAAGAAAAAGAAAAAGAAAGAGAAAAGAAAAAGAAAAAGGGACTCCATTGAAGCACCACTACATGGGCACCTGGGCCGCGGGTCTGATACCTCAAATTCTGCAGGCGCGAAACGAAAACGAGGACGTCGGCCGGCCCAGCGTTTGACGTTTAGGACGGCCTCGTTTTATTGTGGCGACAAGTTTCGGACTGCAAGAGTGGGGCCGTGTACTTGTGGTTTAAAAAAATATCCTCTGCCCACATTCGATTTGTAATTTATTGCCGACTCCAGAGTGCAATTCCTTGAGCACGTCTTCTTGCAATCGCATCATGATCCATTGAAGTCATCACAGCACCACTACTTTCTGTGATGAGAGACTGCCGCTTTTATCTCCGTGGCTCCGTCGACAAGCGGGCGAACTCCTTTACAGAAGAGGAAGGCAACCTGCAACCTCCGTACTATGCTCAATCCTGTTCTAGCTATTCTCTAGGCATTTCCTTTTTTTTCCCTTTTTTTTTTCTCTAGGCATTTCAATTAGTACCATAAAATGCACTCCAAGGCCTTCGCCAGATTTCGCCATTAGAGATGATCCTCATATTATGGGCAAGCCTCTACCTATTCTCTAAGGCATTTCAATTTACCATAAAATCATGTGCTCTGGCCTCCAGGACCCTCACCTGCTTCAGTGCCTTTCACCTCCAGGTCGACTTTCTGATGGTCATCGCCGCGGACCTCCATTGTGTGCCTGATCTCCATCTCTGTCTCATCATTCACCTTGTATCAAGTTTATGCTTCAGTCCAGCGCCTTCACCTGGTCCAGCTTTCATCATTAGACATGATCAATGAAGTATGCTCAAGCCTTTAGCTATTCTTTCGGCATTTCAATTACCATAAAATGTGCTCCAGAAGTCCCAGGGCGCTCGCCAGCTGGGCCTTCACCAGCTTTCATCATTAGACATGATCACCTAGTATGCTCAAGCCTTTAGCTATTCTTTCGGCATTTCAATGACCATAAAAATTTAATGTGCTCTGGGGCCCTCGCCAGCTTTAACCCCCAAGGTTGAACTTCTCATGATTATTGCCGCAAACCTTGTACGCTTCAGTCCAGGGCCCTCACCAGCTTTCAGCATCAGACATATTATGATCATCGAGTACTATGCTCAAGCCTTAAACCACCAGTACTTGGGCACTGCGCGCCGTGCGGGCCGCCCAAATCTCGAAGCAGCGCGGGCTGTCGATTCGATTTATCGACGGCCCGCCGGCCGCGGAAATCGCGTAGCATTAATGCTAAGGCGTCGCCCAAGTACTGGTGGTTTTAACTTTAAAGCTATTCTTTCGGCATTTCAATGACCATAAAATGTGCTCCGGGGCCCTCGCCAGCTTTGACCTCCAGGTTGAACTTCTCATGATCATGGCCGCGAACCTCGATTGCGTCCCTCGCCTCCATCTTGAGCTGGTCATTCACCTTGAGCGACCCCTCCATGCACACCATGTATGCTTGCCGCTGTGCCTCCAATGGAAACTGGATTTGCACTCCAGGGTCACATTCCGAAACAAAGATGTTCGCATCCTGATGGATGGGGATCACGCCGCTGCCCGTGTCCTTCTGTGAGCCAACCCGGCCGTAACTCGTCACAACGTGATGGAGTTTGTTGTGACGATCGTCCTTGCGGAAAGATCTCGATCCGTAGTTTGGTGGAATCCCTTTTCTGTTTGGTCTGATCCAGATCTGCAGAAACCGCAACATCTCGTCTCCATGGTTCATCTCCGAGTGCCGCACTCCGGTACCCGCACTCATGTATTGCACCGCACCTCGCCCCAATGTCTCCGAGCTCCCCATGCTGTCCTTATGGGTAAGCAACCCGTCCAGAATGTACGTGAAAATTTCCATGTCTCTGTGAGGATGGGTTGTAAATCCTGAGTTTGGCTTGACAAGATCATCGTTCAAAACCCTCAGGACACCAAACTCCTGATTGCTAGGATTGTAGTATTCAGCAAAACTGAAGTGGAAACGGCTCTCAAGCCACCAAGTGGGCGTTGACACATGAAGGCTTGACGAAGGAATATGACGCAGTGGCAGTTGAAGACCTTTCGAAGCTCCTCCCATGGCTGCTACCAAGCTTCCCATTCGCAAAGGCTGTAAAATAGTGGACTTGCAAAAGGGCTTTTCTGTATTAAAAAAAAAAAAAAAAAAAGGCGGGGAGGAAGAAGAAGAAAAAGAAAAAGAAGACGAAGAAAAAGGGGAAAAAAAATCGACTTGGGGGGAAAAAGGGAGGAGGGGGAAAAAAAAAAAAAAAAAAAAAAGGCGGGGAGGGGGGGGGGGCTGACAAACCACAAACAAAAAAGGAGGTGAAGCCGGAAACGAAGTCCTTGAGAGAGAATTACAACAAGAAAAAAGATGACGGTGAGCTCTCCTTCTGCCTTCAGTATCTTTCTGTCTTTCCCCAATAGGACAAGCTCTTTGCCCCGTGCTTTCCGCCTCACCTCGCATCCACGACAGAAGCCAACCAGTGCATTCATTGCCACCCTCAAGATTATAATAATTGGGCTAAATCTTTTCAAATTTTAAAACACAAAGACGAACACACTTTTAAGGAGGAGCAATCACGGATCATTGTTCGAAATTTACACTGATGTCATGGAATACCTTTCACAGCCTTCTGGCTATAATAAGATCATCGTGTAGGCCTCTACAACACCCTGGGCTTTTTTTTGGGGGGGGGAATGGAAAAAAAAAAAAAAAGATGGTGTAGTTTTTTGTTATCTGATCAATGTAATGTGTGATCCTTGGTCCATGAGGCCAGGAAACACTTTTTTCTTTTGTGAATGACGTTGCCAGAGCAGCCTTGGAGGTTCTGCCTGTCAATCTCCAAGGGGGAACTTCAAGGTGGTCCCACTGGCAAAGAGGATAATTGGATTTAAAGCCTGAATCTGGACG